ACTGTGAACTATGTTGCTGGATCTGCTACTGGTTTCGTTGCTGAAGGTGATCACTTACCTATTGCTCCAGACACTGATTTTGGATCTCGAATTCAGTCTTCCAGTTCAGGCGTTGTGACAACCAAGAGTGCAGCTACAACCTATGTTGCTCCAGCTCCTTCACAACCTGCTGCCTCAGCAGCACCAGCTGAAGTAGCACAAGTACGTAGCTCAGCTCTTGACGACGGAAGCTACTCTTTCTCCTACGAGACTCAGAGTAGCTCACGACATGAAAGTGCGGACGCACAGAACAATGTCAAGGGAAGGTATTCCTTTATTGCTGATGATGACGTAAGTAGGGAGATCCAGTATATTGCTGGAGCTGACACCGGATACATTGCTGAAGGAGACTCCCTTCCTCAAGGACCACCTGTTCCAGGCGCAGAAACTGGAATTCCAACTGGACGCATTCTCCCTGTCCTATCTGAAGAAGAAGCCAATGCTCTAGCAAGAGTCTCACCTCTTAAGTCTGGAGAGGGGAGTGACAACGCAGACACTCAGGCAGATGCTTCATACAGATTTTCCTTTGATTCTGACAGTTATTCACGGACTGAGGAAGCTGATGCTGATGGCAACATTGTCGGAAGCTACACCTACGTAGATGAAGATGGAGAAGAACATACTGTTAACTTTGTAGCAGGAAGGAAAACTGGATTTTCCCCGAGGGATACCCTCAAACCCACAGCAGCTGCAGGAGATGCAACATCTACAGTAGCTGTGTCACCTGCGTATTCGTCATCTTCGAGATCAAGCGGTGTTACAGCTGCTCAAGCTGTCAGTCCTGTGGTGATAACGAAGGCTGCAGGATCCACAGCAACATCTGGGAGTCACACATCGCAGGTCGTAGGCGACGTTCTCCTTCACCAGTATTCTGCTGACAATAGCCCTAAATATGGTTATGTTTTTACAGCTGTTCGTTAATTGCAAAAATATTCGTCTTGTGGGATAAGGCTTTATTCTTGCTCAAACTCTGAAAATTACTTTTCTTAAATTTCATGCTAAAAGTAGATTAATTCATGAAATCACATAACTCCTGTTGCACAATTTTCTGTAAAGTGGGACTCATTTTTCTAGAGCGGGTTTAGGTTACGGTTTGATTCTCATGCAGTCACCTTCATTATCTTTTGGATCGAACATAGTAGACGACCGGAAATGTACCCGAAAAGCCCAATGGAACCTATGTACATATGCAATCTGTACATTAGATTAACCAAGCAACAATATAAACAAAATAATAAAAAAAGTGTAACTAATAAAAAAAAAATCCATATGATGGAAGTTCTAAAAATGATAGCAAAACATGGAATATCAATAAAAGTGGCAAGGAAATGTCTCTATGAGTCTCACTTTCCTTATGAGTATCAAAAGGGTTTGTCCAGTTTTTACGGAACATTTTCATAAACTGATAATGCCAAATCCTTATTTATGTGACTTATATAATAAGGGACTATAAGGAGTACCGAGGTTTTAGTAGTGGATCTGATTACCCTACCCTAATACTGCTACAGAGTGTTTGCAAAGATGTGGAACTATGTCCTGATGGACAGAAATGATATGTCTTGGTGTAAATTCAGTAAATTCAGGAACGTATTCAAAGATAAGCATGACACAACCACAGTGATACAATTGTTGATACAGTTGTTACGTGCCCTGAGCTTTATTCTCTAAGTTTACTACTTCTAGATAAAAAGTCCACAATAAATCAATGAAGACATTGGAGTTGTACAATATATTAAGTAGCGGCGAAAAATTTGCATATAAGCATTCTTTTCTTTGCATATTAACTTCTTTTTCTCTGATCATTGCCTTTCATGATTCTTTTGTTTACTCTACTCTTCTCTGGTGTAATAATAAGCAAAATGGTGAGCAAAGAAACTTTAACTTCGAACATTATTTCCATATTGAAAGAAATAAAACATAGGGACACGAGAGCGTGCACAGAGACCTAGGCAAGAATAGGTCACACGGAGTTTTTGTTTGGAACTATTAAGGAGTCCATAACATCGGTGCAGCCTCACGCACGAAAGGTTCACTTTGTATATCATGCCGAACAGCTCCTGGCCAGGAACATTTAATAAATTACACGTCTGTCCAGCATCCAAAGGACAAGAGTATATAGTAGGCTTATTTTTAGCATCCTGAAACCCTAAACACTGAAACATTGCTGTAAACTCGTGGCCGCAATTCACAGGTACCTCGAAATGTGATCAGGGGTACTGTACAGTTTTGAAAAATAATAATAATAGATAAAAAATAAAAAACACAGAGAAACTCGTAGAAAACTATTTAATTACTGAAAATAATAACATGGTCTATTATTAGAAGCAAGCCTTAAGGAAGTTCTAAATGAAATCGAAAAACTATCTGATTACTTTGCAACTCGCTTTGTCCGTTTACAAATGACGTTTCACTCTGCAAGGCTGTGTAAACTTTCTAGGTTTTACCTATTGATTTATTCTGCTTAGCGCACATCCATTCTTCAAATGGAAAGTGGAAACGATTTCGCATTTCATCGCCTCCCCCGCGAATGAGTCTCAGTCTCACACAACAGAAGATTCCAACGATCATAGAAGTTCACTACCTTTATTGGCTGTACTTTATCAAGATACATTTATTTCCTTGATAGTTTTGATCCTTGAAGGATATATCTTAGCGGCACAAAATGAATTGAAGATATTCATCCCACGGAAGTCAATACCATGTCAAATTACATGGTACTGCCATGCCAATTGACATAATATATACATGTTTACCCTTATGGTGTAAACATGTATATGATAACTTCCAGAATGGCACAGTCATTTAAAACACATCTTTGTAAAACATTTTTTAAAAAAAAAAAAATATTTGATACTATTCGTGACTATCGGAAATGAGAAGATCCCGAACTGCGGTGCTCATGAAATATCTCAGAGTATTGCGCCCTGATTAGTTGGCCGGAGGGTAACCCCCGTTCAATTTACGATAAAAATCAAGCCTCTAACACTAAATGCGCTTGGAACAATATATGTATCCTGTAATCTTCATAAAAGTATATTTTATCCTTGTATATACAGTGCCCCTAATACTGTGACACACAGCCGATAGACGACTCTGACGCGCAATCGAAACAAATCAGACAAGACAAATGGACGTCACAAATAATGACCAATGTTAATATTGATATAGCCATTTCCACACATATATGTGTGTGTGTGTGTTTAATGGGAAAAGGGTTTCCACTGAAAGGCAGAGCTCATGATAAAATCACGATGTAAAAAATTACCAAGAGATATGTTATTACTACAGTGAGAAAAATATTTCAGGTTCTAAAAGTTCTGAGATCTTAGTGACTGCCATCATAAATACTGACTGGAAATATTAGCTGCAAATAACATCAACAGAAAAGAATGTTTTTGAGAAAGCATCTGACATCACAAATAATGGCAAAGCATAATCATAATGATGTAATATAATAAATAGTATATAATAATAATAATACATATAATATATATAATAAATTAATATAATAGTAATAATATAATAATAATATATATAATAAGGCCCATATAATAATCATAATAAGGAAACTAGTAATAATAGACTAATAATAATGACAGCGTTATAGCAATAATGATAATAATAAGAAAAAGAAGAAGAATGGTAAAAATTGATAATTGAATTACCCCTAAGGACAATGAAAAGAAAAAAATATATATTCTAAAGTAATGATTTAAATCAATAACGGATTGGCAGATACATTCGTGGATGCCTTACACTGTCAGTAACAAAATTAAGTATTCCTTCAAATTATTTGCATACTTAACCTAATTTAGGATGTAGCCTAATAATAATTTCTCAATCATAACATAACCCTTCCTACTTCTTAACAGCGACTCATAAACGTACACACACAGAGGCACACCACATACACATATATATGTATATGTATATATATAGATATATATGTATAACACACACACACACACACATATATATATATGTGTGTTTGTGTGTGTGTGTGTGTGTGTGTGTGTGTGTGTATGTATATAATATATATATATATATATATATATATATATAATATATATATATATATATATATATATATATATATATATATATATATATATATGCATATATAACACACACACACACACACACACACACACACACACACACACACACACACACACACACACACACACACACACACACACACACACACACACACACACACACACACACACACACACACACACACATATATATATATATATATATATATATATATATATATATATATATATATATATATATATATATATACATATATATATATATATATATATATATATATATATATATATATTATATATATATGTACACAAACACAACACACACATACATACACACANTAAATTTCCATATTGAAAGAAATAAACATAGGGACAGCCGAGAGCGTGCACACGAGACCAAATAGGTCAACGAGAGTTGTTTTGTTTGGAGAGTATTATTAGTGCAACCATAACATCGGTGCAGCCTCCACGCAGCGAACGTTCACTTTGTATAATCACTGCTTCTGCCGAACAGCTCCTGGCGCAAGGAACATTTAATAAATTACACGTCTGTCCAGCTCCCAAAGGACAAGAGTATATAGTATGCCGTCTTATTTTAGCAATCCTGAAACCCTAAACACTTGAAACAGCATTGCTGAAACTCGTGGCCGTCAATTCACAGGTACCTCGAAATGTGATCAGGGAGTCACTGTACAGTTTTTGAAAAAATTAATATATTAATAAATAAAAAATATAAAAACAACAGAGAAACTCGTAGAAAACTATTTAATTACTGAAAATAATAACATGGTCTATTATTAGAAGCAAGCCTTAAGGAAGTTCTAAATGAAATCGAAAAACTATCTGATTACTTTGCAACTCGCTTTGTCCGTTTACAAATGACGTTTCACTCTGCAAGGCTGT